TAAAGCAAATCACTGGAAGAGAAGAGGCCTTTTGCTCAGTAGAGCAGCTCTAAGATCTGACGTGAAAGCAACTCCTTCTCTCTGGTCAACCGTTCACGTAAGTGAGTAGCAGAAATCACCATTTTCATTTATTTCAATAACTGTAAGCTCTTTGGGATGGGAACCGTGCCTCTTCTGTTCACCGCTGCATATCTAAGAACCATCAGTGCCCAGCCTAGAGGAGACTGTCATTGAATAGATATGGAATGAATGAATAAAAGAGGAAATGTATTTTAGCACAAGTATACCCAGAGAGGAAGCTAACTATTTAACATTCTTGAGGGAGGAAAGAAGGGGTAGTAAGTGATAAGTACAGGCCCATCTGGACTAGTGAAAAAGACACATTACACAAGTTAGCTTCCACTCCTGGACCAGAAGAGTGCTAAGCATCAGTTCACAGTTCTGCGTCAGGCCAGGATGTTGATGTCTTCCTGAGGCTGGACAGTTGTGTTTCTGGAGCTGGAGTGCTGGTGATGGGGCTGAGAAGGGGCTGTGAGTGTTTCTACCTTTCTAGTTTTAGAGCCAACTGACGGTACTCAACTGCAGGATGAAGTGTGTATGTGTGTGTGCATGTGTGCATTCTGTCGGGGAGAAGTTGTCCATTCATTTGTGTATGCAGTTATTCATTCCACAAACATTTACGGAGCCCTCATGTGTCCCAGACCCTATATTGCCCACTGGGTGTAGAGAAGAGAACACAAGAGATACTGTCTCCTGTCCCCACCCTCCCTCTGAAAAAGAAAATGTTAGCTTCTAAGCTGACTGTTTGGAATTCAAGATGACTTTACTACTTAAAAAATTACTCTAAGAACAGATTAGTGGTTACCAGGGGAAAGGGTGGTTGGGAGGATGGGCACAAGGGGTGAAGTGGTGCACCTGTAATATGACTGACAAATAATAACGTACAACTGAAATTTCACAAGGTTGTAAACTATCATAACCTCAATAAAAAATGAAATAGAAGAAAACATGAAAAAAAAATACTCTAAGAAGAGGTTAGGTTCCCAGGCTAGCCCATAAAGCTTATTTAATCAGCAATATAGCTCAACAAGCCTGAATATCACTAGTGTGAGTTCTGAGTCCAGAGAACAGAGGAAGGAAGGAAAAAACTGCCTTTCTTTTGAATGGAGATAGCCTAAAGCAAAATTTCAGTTAAAAAAAACAAACAAAAACACTTTTCTTTCCTATGGTCCCACCTCTTTTTCTGCATTTTGTCCAACCTCCTACCCACCAATCTCTGAGCCACATACTACTCTAATATTTACTGTCCTCCCAATTATGAAATACCTTATAATTTTCACTATGACAAACCTTGAAAACAACGTATAAAGGAAAAAATTTACTTGAAATGCCATCACCCAAAGATAACCATTATTTCATGTTTGTTTCTATGCATTTATACATTTCTAAAAATAATATACAAGAGAATGCTTTTTCTCTGAGAAATATACCAAGCATTTCTCTGTGGAAATTTCCCAATGAACGAAGACCACAGGACCAACATCAGAACACTCCTACCCCATCTCAACTGAAAAAGTGTGCCACACTCCAAAACCATCTTCTCCACACTGAGAGAAAAGCAGCATGGTAAGAAAAATGCACACTGAGGGGCAACAGGCTGATAAAACTTGAACCCTCAAGAGTCTTTTTAAAGAGGGTGCTTATTAACTATGCCAATAACATCTCTCACTGGCAGAATTTCAGGCAACGTGAAGTAACACTTCCGTACATTGTGAGGAACACTGGGAACGGGCAGTGCCCTCCATGGGTGGCTACAAGATGTGTCAGCACTGCCTGGGACTAGAACCAGTGCATCCTGAAGCTATCACTACTTTTCATACACACAGAGCCCTGGGCCACAACAACTGATCCAGGGACCATAGTTTCTCTGAAAGTGCCAAGCTTTTCATATTGGTTATTTTATCACTCAGAGACCTAATAGGGAAACAAATAAATCTGAGAATTTAAAGTGGAAGGAAGCAGGGAATTAGTTATACAGCTGACAGAGAGTTGGGCAGCCAAAAAAGACAACCTAGAGATTAGCAACAGCAGGTGGCCATAACCACTGGTAGGCTGGAGGGACAAAGGGAAGGAGGGGCATTAATGCAGCCCCGAGGCCAGAGGTTTCTGGCAGAAGCTAAAGCCTCAGCGGGGCCTGTCCAGTGAAAACTTGAGCCACACAGCTGCTGCCAAAGCACTGCCCGAGAGAACACAGGGTAGGGAGGAGGTACCCTGGGGTCTCTCCCTTCCTCCCTGCTCCAAACTCCTACTGGTACGTTGCACTGGTGGAGCCCGACCAGACGCCAGCAGACACGGAAGCCTGAGGAACACAGCCTAGAGGGATCAGTCCTCCTGTGACACGACACAGAGCAGGGGAAGGGCAAAGACTAGATCTGCAGGCAAACAGGTACAGGGTTGCACATTCCTAGCGGCCATGTCAACAAGAAACTAATGGTAAAGGAGGAGGGAGAGGTCACCTTGACTCAGAAGCTATTTCTAAGCAGGAACTGCATTTCTGAGGCTGCAATGACCAGCCTTTCCAGCCCGCCTTCCCACCACTTCCTTCAAGGCCCCAGGCAAGTGGGGCTTCTTTTTAGGCTCCCAGTGCGTCAATTATTTTGTTTCTCCAGTGTGCTTATTCATGTTCTCGTCTTGGCTTGAGGTCAACATTTTTCTAACAAAAATACTACATATTTACATATAAATTTCTTTGTTTGCCAAGACCCAGTTAATTAATGACTTCAATGTTTGCTGAATGGTATATAAGTGCCAGACACTGGCTAAGCATCAAGGATATAAAGACCAACAAGACAGTCTCTACCCATGAGGAACGTAGTCTGTGGTGAGGCCGAAACCACACAATGGTCCATAAGCCCCAAGAGGGTAAGAGAATGCTTTCTTTACGTCTGTAAGCAAGCCAAGTACCTGGCTGTGGGCAGAATCTGTAGCCATGCCCCACTTTCCATCTTTTCCTTCTTCTACAAGTAGTAGAACCGCAAATTTTTAACTAGGCCATGCCACCCAGAATGGAAGTCTTCATTTCCACCCTCTTCTCCAGCTAGCTGTGGACATATAACTAAGTTCTGGGTATACGGATTGAAGTGAAAATGGTTTATGCAATTTCCAGGAAGTACTCTTAAAAGATAGAGAGTATGCCCTTCTCTTTCCTTCTTCCTGCCGACTGGAACAAGACCCTGATGGGCCAAGCTGGAGCAGCCACTTTAGACCTAGGAATTGAGACCACAGGCAGTAGAGACTTAGGCTAGAAAGTAGCCTGGTCCTGACACTGTGGAGAACCATACCAGCCCTGGGCCACCTACTTCTGGACTTTAGCATGAGAATGAGTTAAGCTAACATTTGTTTAAGGCAGGGTTGGCCAGCTTTTTCTGTAAAAGGCTAGATAGTAAATATGTAGGCTTTGAGGGCCATCTGGCCTCTGTCACAACTACTCAACACTGCCGATGTAGGATGAAAGTAGCCACAGACAACAGATAAATGAATGAGTGTCACTGCGTTCCAATAAAACTTTACAGACACTACCTCTAAATTTCATATAATTTTCATGTCACAAAATATTATCCTCTTTTGATTTTTTTCAACTATTTAAAAATATAGAAACTACTCTTAGTGTGTGGGCGGCACAGACAGTACCCAGTTTTGGCCTGAGGCCCACAGTTTGCTGACCTCTGGTTTAAACCAATATATTCTGGATTTGTGTCTTTACATTGAACCTATACCTGATACACTGCTACCACACCAGGGAGACAGTAGGCACTCAGTAAATGCTTGTGCAATGAACGAGCAAGTGCCATCCACTGCCCCGACATAAACAATGTTCTGGAACACAGGGGAGAGAGAGAGATCTCACCGTGACTGGACGCACGGGTGAAGGTGTGCTGAAAGAGATAGTACTATAGCTGAATCCTGAAGAAAAGAGTGTTAGCCATGACAAAGAAAAGTGGCAAGGGTAGGTGGGGAGTTGATGAAAGTTCAGGCAGAAGGAGCAGTGTGTGCAAACGCCCTGAAGGAAAAGACAACAAGATCCCTCTGAGCACCGGAAGGTAACTCCCAATGACTAGAACCCGGATGTGCGTGGGCGGAGCCTTTTCCACGGGGAGGAAGTATCAAGCCCACTAAAGGATGTGGACTACCTTCAAAGCTGTAAGGATCGAGTAAAGAATTTTAAGCTGGGCAGTGACATGTCTACATTCTCAATTTTAAAAAGATCACTTTGGACAACAGTAGGGACAAACTGGAAGAGGGTGTGACTGGAGGCCAGGAGGTCAGCCCCAATGCCATCTTCTCCGTGGAGATGGCCCTCATCTTCCTGGTGGGGAAGAAGTGCTTTTGCTTCTGTGCTCCCCAAACCTTCGTATCTATAGGACTTCCCATAACACTACCACAGAAAACATTTTCTATCTGTTCTCATGTCCGTCTCCTTTAAACTACATGCTTTTTGAAAACAGAAATTATATTGTATTTGAATGCCCATAGCACATCTAGCATAGGAATTTGCTCATAAATAACTGTTATTAACAAGTGCATTTGATTCTAGGTGATCTGGAAACATACCAGATCCACAGACAAAATTAAAGCAGCCAATTTTAAGGGATAATTTATGACTCTGAGGGTAACAAAGACCATGCCACAAACTGCCACACACGTGGGTGGGGCTGTCATGGCAGCACTGGTCCCACTGAGGCCTGAGAGGGTCCCCTGGCAGCAGCCTGGGCATGCAAGAACCTCACCGGCATGGGGATCTTAGAGAGTTCTTTTCCAATGCAGTTCTTCATGATGCTCCATAAATTGAGGCTATAGTTTGGCTTGTATGGTATTCTAGTTCTCTTTTCCTTCTTGGTCTCTTCCAGCTGATGCTTGTACTAGGAGCAAAAACGAAGCCATTCAATCATCCACAAAGAACAGAAAACCCGGTATTTATAAACTTCCCTTCTCCCATGCTAAAAAAATCAGTATTTTCTGTTTCTCTTAGCGCTGTACAGGCAAATCCCTGGGAATCACATCCAAGTCCCTCACTCCCGATAAGTCTCAAAAAAGAGTCACCTGTTCATCAAGGCTGATGTCACTGCTGGCTCCACTGATGTTGCTGCCAGTACGTCTACTCGGATGGGAAGTGGATACGAATTAGAGCAAAGGTCGGAACTTGAATTTGGTCCTTGCCAAGTCTTTACAAAGCAGAATGCTAAGCACACTGCACAAATTTATTAATGAGCGATCAAATGACAACTTTTAGAAGAGAATATGTATGAATTTAAACATCTCTGGAGAACTTGTTCACGGAAAAAAGCTGACAGTTTTCTACTTACTTAAGGAAAAGATTCCAGAACTCAGTAAACATAAACAGCTACGATGCTCTCACTGATACATTTCTAACCTTTCGATGGTCAGATATGTTCATTTTTTCCCAGAGTCAAGGATAACTTACTTATGGCCCAAATTTTCAGGCATGGTGATGATCTCAGGAGCATCAAAAAATTCATTCTCATCATCCTCATCACTCATGTCTCCTTTGCCAGAGCAGCACTGATCTATAAGGAGAAAAGCCTCATTCGTTTACTCTGGCTTTATTTACCAAAACCTGGCCCAGCAGGATCTTGGAAATACTAACCACACACATAGCAACAAATGGTAGAAAGCAGTGAAAAGCCAGAAGAAATAAACAGCCCCAATTCCATTTGATGTGAGTCACTGATTTTGGAGAACGTGGAGTTCTTCTATCAATTGCAGAAAACCACCTGCCCGTATCAGAAGTGGCCACCCAAGAACCGCGCATCTCACCTTTACCAGAACCAGCACTGCCAGGAGTGTTTGCCGGCAGCACCGTGGCCCCTCGGAAGGCTCTCTCCAGGTGATTATGCTGCTTCGCCAGCTGCTCAAGGGTCTCTTCCAGTCGGATGCGCTGGTCTCTTTCATACTGTAGAGACTTCTGCCACTTTTTACTATGGGTCTGGGCTAACATGAGGAAATCTCTGCAGGCCTGTATAGAGAGAGTTAATATGTGTCACATCAACTCAGCTGGTCAGAGATTCCCCTCAGCTGTCTGTAAGCCCCTTAAGTAACCTTATTCTGGGGACTCTAACTGGTAAATTACAAGGAAAGACTTGCCCTGTTATTCCACAGTATCAGGGACAGCCAGCTCTGTGATGCAATCAAAGTCAACCCCAGAAAAAAAAAATTGAATGTGGTTGTCACGGTTCTTTTATATTTTCCTGGTCATGAGGACCAGATAAATGCCAAGTGAACAGTAGGCCCAGACAAAGTATTTGTGGAGACATCATAAAGGGTGGCTATGTGGAGTGCATCAAAAGAAAAAATCTGTGACTGAAAGAAAGCTAAAGAAGAGCACAGGGTAATAAATTCTTTAGTAAACTCAAGTCACCTAAAACTGAGGAATGCAGACACAGGACAGAGAATCTGCACTGAATTACACCAAATATGGGGAAACGATTTGTTTTTATTTTGGTCACTAAGAGAAACAACTGACCTTAAAAATTAGAAGCCTACCTGGGGAATCAAAGAAGTGATCTAGAGACAAAACACAAATCTGATCTTATCAGCCCCTTCACTGGCTCCCCACCAATATTAGGACCAAATCCTAACTACTGGTTATGAACATAAAGGTCCCACCACAGTATGGCCACCCCCTGCCTTGCATCCTCCTCTCCGGGCAGCTGGACCTACCCCTGCACCTACCATGGAGCCACACTGAACTGCTCACCATTTCATGAACACACAGATTTCTTTCAGGCCTGCCTACCACAGCATATGCTGCTCCTTCTACCTAGAATGCCCTCTCCTCCTCCCTCTGTCTACTGGGCCAAGTCCTTTTCATTCTTGAAGACCTATGGCAAATGTTACTCTGTGACACTTCCCCCTCAATCTCATAAGCAGCCAGCCTCTTCTCTACATTTCCATAGCACATTGCACATACTTCTATTTTACACCATTCACAGCAGTATCGTGACTGGTTTCCTGTCTCTCCAGATGGATTATGAGCAATGTGAAGACACAGTTTATAGCTTATTCATGTATGTATCTCCAGTTCCTAACTTAGTTGCTTTATACATAGTAGAAGCCTGATAAAGTTTGCTTAATAAATAAATGAAGGAAGAAAGCAATGAAACTTAAAAGTCTATGCCGTGCCATAGAGAAACTAAAAGGTAAACAGAATATCTACTCCCATGGCCTCCACCTTTGCCTATAGGCTAATTACTAAATCGGTAATTCTAGCTCTGCACTCATGGAGCTTCAGGCCAGAATATCCAATTGCCTATTCAATGGCTCAAAGCAATCTCAAAATCAGTGGGTCCCAAATTGAACTACGTTCTCTTTCTGACTCTGCTTCTCCCTTTGGTGTTCCCCAGCCCAAGAACAGACGCAGGGCCCTTCTACCTGGCCAAACCAGAAAGATAAGAGACATTCCCGATTCTTAGTTTGTCTTCCCTCCCCACATCCAATTATCAAGTCCTTAATAATATAATACATAATATATTATTATCCATAATATATAATTAATATAGAATATTCTTCCTTAATAGTTCTGGAATCTGTGCACATCTTTTCATCGTCCATACTCAGAGGCAGTACGGAGTACAGACTGTGGAGCTGGATTGTTGGGGCTCAAATCACAGCTCCATCTCACTATCTAGCTATGGAATTTTCAGCAAGTTATTTAATCCCTCTGTGCTTCCTCTTCCTCATCTGTAAACAAAGAATAACTATGGTAACAACCTCAAGAATTGTTGCTTTACATGTAAAGCACTCAGAACCCTATCGGGCTTACAGTAAGCACTCAATAAGGTGTTAGCTATTATCGTTAAGCCTGCATCAATCAGTCTTATCCTCTTCTAATCCACTATTACCAAGCCCATTTAATATGATCTGCACCCCTCCCCCACACTTAATTCCTCTCCAGCCTCATCTCTAGCTCCTTCTTTGCTAATAGTTAATTACCAGCAGTGCCCAGACCTTGGGAGAGAGGGAGAGATCCGCATATACCATACCTCTAACTGGATCAACAATTCGCCCTCACTTCCTTTTAATAATATTGATCATAACTAAAATTCAGTGAGACAATTGTATGTCAGGCACTTTGCCAAACACTTTGCATCAATTATCTAATAAAAGCCTTTCAACAATCCTGTGAGCAGCTACTAGTATCATCACCATTTACGGAAAAGGAACTGAGGTCACCAAGGAAGCAGGTAGTCCCAGATATACAGACATAGTTATACAGATAGTTAACCGAGGCAGGTGGACCCCAGGGCCCCAAGCTCTATATTGCCCTTTTTCATAGGAAGACTCTCTCTGGTCTTTCAGAACTTAGTTGAAGTGTCACCTTCTCTAAGCCTCCCAGTCTGAGCTAAACACTTGCAGTGTACTGTGGCACAACAGCCTGTGCTCATTCTGTCACGGCACTTAGCACACTCCATAGCGATCTGTTACTTCTCTGTCCCCTGACTGGAGAGTAATCTCCCTGAGGGCAGGGACCACACTTGAATTGTTTTACATTCCTTAGCACAGTGTCTAGAACACAGATGGTCTCAATAGATGTTTGCTGCACTGGCAAACGGATCCACTGACAAGGTCAAATTCACACCCCTGTTTAGATTACTTTGGTAGTAAAGGCTATGTCCTAAGCAACCGAGAAATTGAGTGAAATGTATCCTTCCTTTGATATATCTTTGCCCGTTTAGAGATGTGATGCACTAGCATGTTAATTTTCAAGATGCGTATCACACCTTGCCATCATCACCTCAATGGTACAAACGAAACAACACAGGGATAAAAAATACATTTCAAGCAATAAGAGGTTATGAAAGGGGCACAGGCAGTAGACCAGGGCAGAAGAGAATGAGAAAACAGAACTCATCTCCGAGTGCCAAGGGATCACTCCCTCTGACACAAACTCTGGACACTTAGAACTTGGGGACGAAGAACTGCCCCGAGGAACAAAGATGAGCATATTTTCAAGAGAAAAGTCTAAACCCAAGTTTCAATTTTATGAGAAGTTTTAAATCAAGAGGTGTTTTATTTAACACATTTTTCTCATTAGAGCAGGAAAAAAATTGTCATAGAGCAGGGTGTTCACCTGACATGGATAAAAGGGAACATTCACTATCAGCAGACCACTGTGCCCTGAGTTGTTCTACATAAAAAGTATATTTAAGGGCCAGCCCAGTAGCTGAGTGGTTAATTCACGCACTCCACTTCGCCAGCCCAGGATTTCGCCAGTTTGGATCCTGGGCACGGACCTAGCACCACTCATCAAGCGATGCTGAGGCAGCAGCCCACACAGCAGAGCCAGAAGGACCTACAACTAGAATATACAACTATGTACTGGAGTGCTTTGGGGGGAAGAAGAAGAAAAAAAAAGATTAGCAACAGATATTAGCTCAGGTGCCAATCTTATAAAATGAAAAAAATAATTAAAAAAACATATATACTACTGATTAATCGACCTGTAAGATTTATGAGGTTTTCATTATCTCAAGAGAACCAGAAAAACAAGCACATGGTCACTAAGAAGTGAGACAGTTTGGAAAAAGAGCACATGACTAGATATCAGAAACACAAGCATCAGTGCTGACTTGCAGAATGGTCCTGGGAGACAGCTGATCTTCTTGCAGTCCTTAAGAGGACAAAATACTTTGTCTCTTCTACCTTGTGTGAAGCCTGCCCTGGTGGCCTAGTGGTTAAGATTCAGCGCTCTCACTGTCGCAGCCCGGGTTCGCTTCCCAGCGCAGGGAACCACACCACCCGTCTGTCAGTTGTCATACTGTGGTAGCTGCAAGGTGCTCTGATACTGAAAGCATATTGATATTGATTTCAAATATCAGTAGGGTCACCCAGTTCTGGAAAAACTGGCCATGAAAACCATGTGAACAGCAGCAGAGCACTGTCTTATAGAGCACCAGAAGGTGAGAGGATGGCGCAAAAAGACCAGGCAGAGTTCCACTCTGCTGTACACAGGGTCACTAGGAGTCAGAATCCCCTCCGTGGCACTAACACAAAACCTTGTGTGAATCAGAGCACTGAAGAAAGAGTACAACACTTCAGAAAATGATGTGAAAAGAAGGTTATCACAACTTTCTATTAAGTAACAAGGAAGTTTTGAATGAGAAAAACCAAATTTCCCTTGGTTACAGGAAAAGACCTTTGATCCCCAAGCAGCCAAGTGAACGAAACTGGTTCTAAGCAGACATCTTATTATCACTCCCTAAACAAGGGAAAATCTGGCTCCAGAGAAGTAATTTCATCCCATTGAATTAGACAGGAGAAAAACCCTGCATAAGCCTTTTTTCAGAGCACTCTTGTCACTTGCCTTGTGAAACATCCTCTAGTGTTCTTAGGTGGAAGCTAATTAAAACAATCTGCCAGGTGAGAATCAGTCACCAGTAGAAGAAAACCAGCATTGTTTAAAGCACGTGTTCATTTCATACGTATCACCCAGTATCTGAAATACATCAGTAACACCACTGGTGCCTTGGGCTTACCTACAGCCTTGTACCCACACAGCTGAAGTATGCCACAAACCAAAAACAGCCACCTGAGGTAGGAGGCAGAAGCACTGGCCCCTTCTTTTTAAAAGAAAAATGCCCATAACTGAGTATTTTGTCTTATCATCCAGAATCACCTCTGAAATCAAGAACTAAAGACAGGAAGAACTAGTATTATAAGGTTCTAACTAGTACTTGATCCAGCCCCACTTACCACACTGTACGCTAGAATGCACTAGCAAAGCAGGGGTAAGACTCCGATTTAAAGCTCAAAGATCATGACAGTGGAAAGGACCCACGGAGACCTTCTAGTTCCAACAGATAAAGTTATTTATATATATATAAAATAAATAAATAAAACCACAACCCAGAGAGTTTAAGGGACGCAATTAACATCACCAACAGATGTCCTGCTGATTGCAGAAGACGCAGGGCTGAACTCTGGACCCCCAACTCATTCCCAAGCTGGAGCAGTGTCCTCCTGACCACTTGAGCAGGGCATGAAAGTCATTCCATCTGTGCAGCCTGTTCTATTTCATGTAACAACGTAACTTAAATCTCTTGAGCAGTGAAGCAGGACCTAATGTTCCGTGCTTTATCAATTACAGTTTTCCAGCATTTGGGGAGAATTACATTTTGAAGAGGGAAAAGAACCAAAAAGCAACTTGGACACCATCTGCACTTACATTGATCATGGCATTGGATGTTATCCGAAAGAGCGTGGCCCGTTCGTTGACCTGTTTGATCTTCTCGTTGCTCTCAGCAGGCAACCTCAGGGACTCCAGCTCACTGAGGGAGCGCTGCAGCGCTGTGCCGTGCTTGGCTATCAGGTCGTTGCACGTGCTCAGGTCCTCCACTTTGCTGGAAAGGGTCCGGAGGGTATTCTGCAGCTCAGTCTTGTCAGTTTGTGAGACAGATTCTTCATCTCCTGACTCATCTACAGGGGTGAAAAGGTGAGTTATATGCCTCTAGGCCCAGGACCGAGAATCAGAACCCAAGTGCCTCTGCTCACAGCCAAAACAACACTCCTCACGCTGCGCACTCTGACCGAGAGCTTGCCAGCACCAGAGGATCTGTCTACAGTGTGGTCCATGGCCCACCTGTATCATAACAACCTGGGGTGGTGGTTCTTCTGTTTTTTTTCCTGAGGCATACAATAATAAGCATTTCTTTTGCTCATGATTTTTTCCCTTCCAGTTTTATTGAGCTATAATTGACATACAGCACTGTGTAAGTTTAAGGTGTATAGGATAGCGACTTTACTTACACATATTGTGAAATGACTACCACAGTAAGTTTAGTTAACATCCATCATCTCATATAGATACCAAAAAACCCCACTTTCTTCCCTTGTAATGAGAACTTTTACAATCTACTCTCTTAGCAACTTTCAAATATATCATACAGCGGTGTTAACTATAGTTATCATGTTGTACATTACATCCTCAGGATGTATTTATCTTATAACTGGAAGTTTTGAACCTTTTGACCACCTCTGACCCTGGGGTTCTTCTTAAAGGTGCAAAGTGTCTGCCCCATCTCAGAAACTTTGATTTGGCTGATGTGAGGCAAGGTGCAGGAATCTGGATTTCAAAGAAGCTGCCCAGGAAATTCCGATGTATGCTGAAATTTAAGAACCAATGACCTAGAGGACAGGATGGAGAAGCTCGTGGCTCTTGGGATTGGGAATGAATTAATGAGCCTTTTAACTCTAGCTTGAGGGTTCCAATCCAGTTCAAGTGGATTATTACCACAAATCCATTATCATCTGTTGGAAGATTGGCAGGCCCTGTATGAAATGGGTTGAGAATCATAGTCCAGCTCTCTGTAAACAAAGTCTACGTCACCAAAAGACTCGTTCATTCATCTTTTCTGGAGGAGAGCTCAGGGACTTCATGATGAGCTCATCTAACACTAAAGCCACTACTGCAGTGAAAGTCATGCAAGGTCTTCTGTTAAAAGATTCTCCAATAACAAGTCAAGTAGAGAGCTATCTTGTAGCTCTTGCCACCAGTTTTGTACTTAACACTTTGTAACTGCAGAGTGTTTTTCTAGCAGTGTCACTTCCTTTGGGGGAGCTAACATCAGCACTACTACAGGAGAAATAAGGAAAGACATGCCCTTATAATCTGTTCCCAAAAAACCTTATAAAGCACTGAATTTTCCTTACATTGCTTAATACATACTAAATACAGCATGAGAAGTGACAGGGGATAAGAAAATCAGAGATGAAAAGAAGCCAGCAGGTGCCCACCTCGGTCAGCTCTCAGTGAACAAGCTCAGTGTAACTCAACGATCAACACTTGTCGGGGGAAACCCTACCATTTTCCTTGAAGAAAAATCAAAACAATATTGATTTCTCTTTTAATGAAACTAAAAGTGAAATAAGATTTAAAATATAGTAAAATGAAAATATTAGAAAACATCACATATAACGTTTTCGGCAGTCTATGAGAATTTTGTTTCAACTCAACTAACAAATACTTAAGTAAGATGATGCCAGCAGAAAAGAAAAAAGGATAGGTCCAAACTGTGAGTTGTAATAATCCTAAGACTGACCTAGCATTAAAATAGCTACTTCTCAAATTTTTAATGTAGTCAATTGGCATTAAATGCCAGAAGGACAATCGTTATGCCTCTAGGATAAAGTTTCTCAACCTCAGCACTACTGACATTGGGGTCAGATAATTCTTTGTTGTGGACTCTCCTGTGCACTGTAGGAAGTTTAGCAGCATCCCTGGCCTCTACTCACTAGATGCCAGTAGCACCACTACACCTCAGCTGTGACAACAAAAACGTCTCCAGACATTGCCAAATGGGACTGTGGGGCAGAAATGCCCCCAGTTGAGAACCGCCACTCTAGGAGAAATACTGCATGATGAGGAGAAGCCTGAGACATCCAGGAGAGACCTGATAATCGAATGACAATGAGGCATAAAATAAGATTTGTGCATAAGAGAGGAAGAGAAAAAGTTCCCCAGGCATGGTGTTCTTTGCTCCCTACCCGATTCTGCCAGCATCTTCACAGCCTTGGCCTTGGCCAGCTCCAGGGCCGTCACCCAGCGCTGCCGCTCCACTTCTGAGCTCGCCTTCAGATGGTAGGTCTGAGCACCTCCATTGGAAATGATGAAGTTGCAGGAGTCCTCCACGGTGATGTTAGCTGTGGCGAGGTTGATGGTACCACGGCAGGTGTGTCTCATTTCTGCCTTTGACCTGCAACAATGAGACAAAGACAAGCTAAGTAGAAAGCTTATGAGTGGTTTCTCTTCACCACATTCCATTTCTTTTCAAAACTCTAAGCCTTTTGAAAATACAGTCGTCTTAGGAATCAGCAAGTTCTAATATTTCCCTCAAATGGTTTCCTAAAATTCAAGAAACAATCGGTAGGGATTTCCTTTCACAGCGTCTAAGTGTTGTTTCCGAGTCAGAATTATTGCTCTGCTGTTCCTCTCACTCTCAGCTTTTTCAAAATAGGCTTCACTGAAGCATAACTACATACAATATTAATTCAGCAATTTTAAGAGTACAATTCAATGAGTTGAGATAAAGGTATACAACTGTGGAACTACCTCCACAATCGAGATATAGAACATTTCCATCGCCCCAACAAGTTCCCTCGTGCCCCTTTGCAGTCAGGAATTACTCTGTATTTTGCAAGTTGTAATTGTAAAATAGTGCTTTATAAATTCATGCAACAGAATTTCGTAAAACAATCTCATTCTGTAAGAGAAAAAATAGTTCCATTTTACATATACTGCACAACCCACCCCCTAACTGTAACTCAGCCCAAATGAGAAGTGTCGCATTATGCATAGAATTATACTGCAGAAGTTTAAGGCACACGTAGATATTTAGACCATTAAATATTGAGTACAGCTCAAATGATATGAAATAGGAATAACTAACTTTCTGTGGGAGTAAAGAAAGAATAATCATAAAAGAAAAAGGTGGTATAATCTTGCTGGAATATGTTCTTTCCTAAGGTCCACAGACCTCTATTGGTGGGAACTCCTAAGCCATCCTATTAATAGCTAGGAAAGATTCAGCAAATCTGTTCTCAGAGGACTGCGTGTAAAAATTTTCCCCATCTCTACTGACTGACAGTTCTATTAATAGACTAACTTTTGAACTTTATAGCACTTCTTGATGACAACAAGCTACAAGAGACTTCACAAAAAATATCAAGCTGCTTGCACAACTGAGTGTGCAGCACAAGTCGTGCTAATTTCCCTGCCACCCGCTGGTTATGCCCAGGGACCTGTGTGTTGAGACCACAGTTCTCCATGACCAACTTGGAACATAAAGAGGTCAAAGTCCCTTGCCAACTGCCACAGTGCAAAGCAGAGCCATTTCCCTTTTGCTGGAGCCAAGCAGCCAAATGCACCTGGCACGTCCAGAATTCCTGCATGCCAGAAGTGACACATACTCCATCTCCAGAAACTAAGATTTGGTATGTTTCAGAAAGTCTGTTTACTGTGCTTAGGAAGACAGATTTGCTATTGTTCAGTCTGTCACATGAAACTAGTTTTTCTTCCTCAAATGCACGAATGAGCAGTATGGGATGGCCAGGGGGTCTCAGTGGACTGGGCCATTTTCCATCCCCTGCACCTGCCACACTGTAACGTGAATCCCTGTTTTTTCTATTCTTACCTCCCCTCCCCCGCCCCCAAGCTTCAGCTTACATTATGAATAATGCAGGCAGAATTACAGACTCACAGCTGACAGGCCGACTCACCCCTCCTTTCGACTCCAAAGGTGCCACCTGGACCTTCTACCACATTCCTCACAATGTGTTGGTCCTTTTAACAAACCACTTCCTAGGAATCTCTTCTGCCTGCGTCATCTTCATGAACTACAGAAGTTTCTCAAATCACATAAAGTCTATAGCAGTTTTAAAAATACCAAAGAACTTTGGAGCAAGGCAGGCTTGACCTCAGAGCTCTTGGGTTCGAGCAGCTACACCGATGGTTATAAATGATTAGTGCAGAAGCTGGAAAGACTTGGTTTTCAGGGTGCAAGATAAGTTCTTCAGGCACTACAGTATTAGGTGGTATTTTCTGGCTAGAAAGTTCGTCCCTAAAAAGGCCAGCCAAAATAGTAACTCAATCTCTAGAAGCTAGCCAGGAAAACTAATACTATGGGCCTGTCACGATGTGTCTGGGAGAGCTGGCATTCTACATACGGTTTTAAGTATCAGGACATCTGTGTAAGTGTGAATGAAAGGAAGAACAGGATAGGTAAAAAGACAGAAGCAGCTTGCCAAAGTCTATTAGGACAGTTCATCAGCGGGTGGGTCTAGGAAGTACATGATGTCAGTTAAAAAGAAAACAGTGCTTTGTAAAAAAAGGTCATATATAGGAGATGACAGGTTTTGGAGGCATGAAAAGCAGGAGGAATAACAACTTGGCTAATTAACTCTAGGGAGACGGGGACCTGAAGAACCCTGTTGGCAAGAAAAACTACCAAGACAGTTGGTAGGCAGTACTTCAAAGTAATTTTGAGGGATGTGCATAGAATTGATAACTCTGGATCCTGTTGGTTGGTTTGTGGGTGGGACCATCTTAGCTGGCAAGGCCAGGCCTATGGCATATTTCCCAATATGTGGTTTAGTATGTTTTGGAAAGAGTTTTATCTGTAGTCGGACAGGTAACACTAGCTCTTGTAAGACAGAAGTCAAAAGTGGTTACAAGTACTTGAAGACACAGCGACATATAAGTTATTAATGTTCAACCAAGATCAATATTGATCAAGACTGGTACTCATCAAAGAATCAACTGGCCCGGAAAGTAGATATGATAAGAACTTGGATGAGGAAAAACGACCACACATTAAGGCCTGCGGCTGATACACAACTTTTGAAAATGGGGAATCAGTGTTAATAGTGATTTACAAGTCGAGTTAGGATATGAGTCAACCGAACATTAGAATGATGGTCAATGTAACAGGAAAACATGAACCTGAGCAGGGGAAAAAATCTGAGGCAAACTAAAATTTTAGGTTTGTCATCTAACCTTAAACTGATAGCCCTGGCTGAGTAATTAGAAAGGGTTAAAATTAAAACTAATTCTGAATATAATGCAAATGATATACACAAGTGTTGGCAATTAATGTCACTCAAGCAGTGAGGACACACTATCTAAGGCCATTTGCCACTGTTAGAGACCCAGATAAGAATGTTGCTATTTCAACAACCTCCAACTTCCCTCAAAATTCTCTAAGAGCCAATACAATGGAGTTGATGGAAAAGAGGCTTGTTCACCCTAACTCCCGAGTGGCAGAGTGACTACTGGCAGAGGAAAAGAAATACAGAGGGAGCTGCTCTTAACAACATTGTTTTGAGTTCGAAATAGGATGGTCTTTATAAAAAGATTTCAATTAGAAATGCCATTATATTAAGCAAAGTCTCCCTTAAACAAGACTTTTATACATTGTGTATAAAATACACATAGTAACCATGATCTATAAACTTACGTGCTAGAGATTAAGTAATTATCTCTGCATCTGACTGATTCATGTAACACTTACCTGGGTTGTAGGTTATGTTGGTGTGCACAGAACTAGTTTTAAATCCTGACTTCTCAAGACGTTGGGAAAGTTGCCCAAGCTAAGTCTGTTTCCCCATCAGTAAGATGGGATTAGCTCCTAAATCACAGGGTTGATTTACTGTATGTAAAGTATCTATCTAAGCTGTTCCAGCCCTCAGAAAACGTTTATGTCCCGTCCCCAAATCCATATCCTCACCCCTCTACCTATCGCAACATAAGTAGCCAAAAGCATGCTATGTTATGGCAAGACTGTGAGTCACCATAAACATATATTACACATTCCAAAGCAAACAGTGCGGAACAGAAGTAATCATACCCAACACGTGGATTCTTCTTTTAATAAAACTTACACCTAACTAACCCGAGAGACCCCAGAAATATCGGAGAGAACACTTCACCATTCCCACGGGAGGAGGTGGGGCAAGCAAAAATAAAAGCAGCCCTGGAGGGCACATCTCCATTCTGGGCTGTCCAGAAGGCGAAAGCAGAGCAAGTCTTGGGGAGATAAGGAAGACAGGGGACAGACACCGAGGCCACTGTGTGCGTGGTGTCCTTGTGCCTGAATGTGGAGACAGCAAAGGCGGGTATATCAAGGGCTGCTAATAACCTTGAATTTTGGAGACCGGGCACAAAAGACAGCTAAGCCGTGGGACTTTTCCTCTAAGTTCCTTGGGAGCAATGCCTGGGCTTTGCTCTCTTCCATGTGCCCCTTAACACCTACGACAGCGCCTTCCTTGCAGAACTAATCATTGCACCGATGTGCTGGTGGGAACACAATGGAAGAGTAGATGCTCTCCAAACAATCGGAAAGGCCAGGGACCGAGGGGAAGGCATGGCACCGGGGGTGGGTAACGCAGGTGGAGGGGTAGGTCTGGAGCGTTCACTTTCGTGATGGTGGGCTGGTGTCGCGGGCTGTCAGTGCGCGCGGGTGACGAAAAGGGGCCTGGGGCGACCTTGGCTGCGCTGCCGGCTCCAGAGGGTGACGGCGCGGGGACTGTGGGCTGCGGTGGGGGACGGCGCCCCGGAAGCAGTTACCTGTAGTAGCTCAGGAGCCCGTTGCTCAGCACGAACCACCGCCGCTGGTAGCCTTTGATGTAATTGGTCCATTTGAAGAGCCAGCCCTCTCGAGCCGAGCCCGAACCCCCGGCGCCCGAGCCCCCCGCCGGCGGCGCAGGGGCCTGGCCCGCAGCCGCCACTCCTCCGGCCCCGGGGCCCGGGCCGCCCGCAGCCACCGCGGCCACCGTGCCGGGCGCGCCCCCAGAGCCTGGCCCCGAGTCTCCGCGGCCGCCACCGCCGCCTCCCCCCACTGGGGGACCGGTGCCGCCGCCGCCCGGAGCTCCAATGGCTGCCGGGCCCGGCCCCACCACTCCTCTCAGCTCCGTCGCCGCCATGAGTCGCCGCCGCCCCGAGATACAGGACCGAAACCGCCTACGAGGGCCGCCGTCGCCGCCTGGAGAGCCCCACACGGCTAGCGCATCAGCCGCGGCCGCGCAGCGTCCCCGCCCCGCCAGGCCCGCCGCGGGGAGGAGGGCTCGGCGGCCAGGAAGAAAGGAGTCAATTGGCGCCGTGGAGTGTCACTTGCAGGAGACCCCTAGGACATTGGCATTTCTCTCGGGCCTGTCATTCCACACCGCCCAGTGAGAGTCCGGGGTGGGACGCGTCTGCCAGCCATGCCGTCGATTGGTTCAGATGAAGGCCAATCAGACTCACGTACAAGCCCATTGGTACTTTCCCGAAGGTCCCCGCGCTCAGGGAAGACTCGAGAATGCAGAGTGCCCGGCCAGTTTGGTCGCCGATTGGCTAGTATTTCCGCCATTCATTTCAGTTTATGATCCCGTCACTGCCACGTCACCCCCTCCCAGCTCCCTTCGCATCCTTCCTCTTCCGCCCTGACGGATTGGTGGTTGGTATCAGCTGCTCAACCTTTTCCACCATTTACCGAACGAGTTGAGGAAAAAGGGGAGGAGTCTTGTTGCACAGCCCCACTTTTATTTCTTATTGGCTGACATGCATGTCACTCACATGTCGGCGGAGAGACAGGGCGGTGCTTGGAGATGATTGGTTCCAGACATCGTCTGTGGAAGAAGGAACTTGGCAATGCTGACCAGTGAAAGAAACGTTTTGAGAGAGGGGCAGGCCGGGGCAGCCAATAAAATCCGAGAACAGCGCTTGGGGGGGCATGCCTACCTGCTTCCTGCTTGGGGGAGCTTGGTGGTAGGCAAAAGCGGGTCGACTTCTCAAGAACGTTTTTTGATGTAGGCGCTGAGTTGGAGTCGCTTCTTCTGAGTTAGGACCTCCATAGTTTCTTGTTAGGAAGAGTGACTTTCAGCAGTCAGCGCCTGCCTGAGTCCCCTCCTTGTGGCAGCTGGCTCTGAGCTAGAGGCCCGGATTCCTGGGGACCCTAGAAATAGCTTCCCCAGTTCCCTCCTGGATCTAGGATTCTCCTAATTCCCTTCCCTGGTTTGCTGATCATCGCACCACATCCCATATCTCTTGATTCGAGACTGTCATATGCTTTTCCTAATTCTGTTCCACGAGTTGCTGACCTGATTTTGAGGAAAAAATAGATTCGCAAGGACCTGACTTATGTGTGCTTCCGACCGGTGTCTCTTCCACACCTAACGGCCCTTGTTGGTTTTAGCATCATAAGCGCACGTGTGTATGCTTTACTTTGCGCAGAAAACAGTTATTTTTGGTAAATGACGTTATTCACACATTTGTGAAAATCACAAATTCAGTAACTCATTTAACATTTAGATGTTGTAAACTGCTGTTACAAATAGAGCTTTGGGGAATCTGGCACCTGTTATATTTTGCCAGTTTAGACGGGCAACAGAAATAGCTGTTGGTGTAAAACAAATTGCTTTTCCCTGGCAGTGTGCTTCCCAGTATCAAGAAAATAAAGAAAAATAGCCTTTTTTAGAAAACGTTTTTAAAAGGAGAGAAATACTTATTAAATTCTGGAGAGAGAATATACTTTGAAAATCTGTAGTTAGATGGATGCTATTTGGGATTTTTCTTTTTTTTAAAGCTGAACTAAAGTGAATCCATTTATGCTTCAGTCCTACCTTTGCAACTTACGGGCTCTATGACTTTGGGAAAGTCATTTAAGTACTCCAAACCTAAGTTTTCACTTCTGTTAAATAGGAATAAAACCTTACAGGAATGCTGTTGTGATTAAATGCGTTTGAACGTGTTTGATAAACTGTAAACAGCTACAAAAATGTAAATTGTGTTGCCAAACCCATCCCTCAGATTATTTGCCAGTCACAAAGGAGAAACACACGCTTTTACAATGGGGCAATCTGGCTGAACCCACCTTCACTCAGTTATCCAACTTAGGGTCATTAACCCTGGGCCAACATTCTTACCAGGTCTCTGGTGTGCTGCAGGATCAAGTATACAGCAGTGTTTACAAAGTTTTCATACCAAAAATGTTGAACCTGAATCCAATCAAGCCTCTAGCTCTAACATCCAGTTTACAGGGGCTGGAGGAACCAGTTAAACGACATCCCCATGAGACAAGCAGATAAATCAAGAATGTAAGGCATTCTATAAGACAATTGATCTTATAGCAGGTAAGACATAAAGATTAAGGAAAATTGATGTCATAAAAAAGGGCCAGGGGGTGATCTAAGTTTTTCAAAACTTTAAAAGACACAACCAAATGCTTGATTGGAGTCTGGTTCTGAAAGAAAATAACCAGCTTTCTAGACATTTTTTGGCAAAATGGAGAAATTTGAAAATGGGCTAGTATTAGATGATGTTGTTAGGCAGTTATTACATTTGTTCAATTTAATATTAGGATGATGGATATGAAGGAAAAGATCTTTAAAATTTGGGGAAATGCTTAGGAGTGAAGAGTCATGATGTCTGTAATTTCCTTGAAAATGGCTCAGAAAAGGAAAGGAAGAATGAAAGACAGCCAGCCAAGAAAAAGTAATGCATTGAAATGCACACACACACATATTTATATCTATATAACTATGTATATCTGTGTATCTATATATAAAGCAAATATGGCAAAATGTTAATTGAATGTCAGTAAGAAATATATGGGTGTTTATTTTACTATTATTTCTACTTTTACTGTATATCTGAAATTTTTTTAAGGTTTTAAAAGGCTGAGTTAAAAAAAAATGAAAGGAAAATAAAAGGCTGACTTGAGTTATTGCTGTTCCCACCACTGCCTCCAGAATACAGCCAGATTTCCTAGCCTGGCAAATGAGGCCCTTGACAATCTGGTGTCACTTCTCTTTTCCAGCCTGTCTCTTACTCTTTTGTCTTGATGTATCCAAGCTCTGATTAAATGGATCAACACATCTTCATCCACATTTGCCCTACACTTGCCCTGATTGGTGCCTTTGTGTATGTTCTCCCTCCTTCTAACGCCCAGCACAATACTCTCCCTCCACGGAGTCTCTTCTGATTTCCCTGCCTAGAAGTAATGTCCCTTCCTCAGCACTCGTGGAATGTCCGTGACGTTAGTTGTCTTGCCTTGTAGTTACTTATGTTCCTAATATATCACCCCTACTAGAGGGTAAGTTCCTCTTATGCGTGATCCGTATCTGTTTCATCTTCAGTTCCCTCATGACAGTTAGCACACAGCCTAGTATATTCATCCATTTAACAAATATTTATTAAGCGTCTACTATATAATATCCAGGGTTGAGCCAAGTGTTGGGGACAGAGTAGTGAATGTACAGATAGGCTCTCGTTTCTCATGGAACATAAAGGATCTTGGGGATAGATAGATTTTTAACAAGAGACACACAAGTGAATATATACAGTATTTGCATAGAGAAAATATGTACAGTAATTATATACATATGTACAGTAACATGGAGGACAGCCAAGGTGCTTTGAAGGAGAATAACAAGTGTAACCTGTTTCAGATAGGGATAAACTCCCTTTAAGTAATCTGGGGGGTGGGGAGAAGTTGGAAAAGGAAAGGCTGGAGACAGTCATTCTTGTGTGAAGGCCTGAGGAGAAGAGAGGCAATAACTAAGGTGGAGGGATAAGGGATGGAGAGCACAGACTGGAAAGACCTACAAGCCCTTATAAGGAGTTTGGGTTTTATTCTAAGTGTGGTGGGAAGCAGTTGGAGGAATTAGGGTAAGTGACTCCAATTTTTGTTTAAAATGGTCACTGGCAGATGTGTGCAGTACATGAGTGTGGAGGAGACAGCAATTAGGAAGATTCTGCAGCCTTTTAGAAGAGAAGTACTGACGACTTGATTGAATGTGGTGGCAACAGAGATGGAGAGAATGGACAAATTTCAGATATATTTGGGAACAGAACACCTGTGAGGGGGTGAAGAAACAGGGTTAGAGGGAGAAGTTGAACTGGGTTGCACCTGCAACAGAGGCCTCAGCTATAGGGAAATCTGGAGTTGGATTGGCCTATCCCAGATGTCCCACCTTGAGACAAGATGGCGGGCGCTTCTATCACAGCAATGATCAGTCTTTGCATGCAGGCTGCATGCAAGAAGGGGGCATAACCTAAAGGATTTCCCTTTGGGAGAAGGCAATTTACAGAGGGAGATAGGCTCAGCTGTGAGCCATCAGCCACCAGCACTTTCAGCAGCTGTGGGTATGAGTACCTGGTTTTAAAGAGAAGATCTTGGCAGCATTCCAGAACATCCACTACAACATTAAACCATCTTTCCTTATAAGTCAGGACTTACATTTTGTGGTTCCCTTAACCTACATGAAAGAAAAAGCAAATTGGACACCTGACAGATACTGTACTTGGTGGTAAGCCTGTTATTGTGCTTGCCACAGAGGCACTGTGGTTAGCGTCACTCTTACCTGCTTTCCCCAAATGATTCTTAATGACTACTAGTTCCAGGTACTGCTCTGAGCAGTGGAAAAGAGCTTGGGGAATGATTCTGTCTCTAAGGTTATCAAGGAGTGGTCTGCCCGGTGTCCCTTGCTTGCTGTGTGATTTTTCCTGAAGCAAGGGCTGCATTCTAGCCCTCTGGTCTTCTTCTTTTGTTCGAGTTTGTGGAGCAGGATGATGAAATTCACTGAAACCAGGAAGACACAAAAGTGAGGTGGGAACTGCCAGTATATCAGAACAGGTTCATCGACAGTCTCAGGGGAGGTAATTCAACCCTCTACTTTTGGGTAGCAAGGGGAATGGTCACTCCTGGAGAGCAAGAACCACATTCTGTGTGTATTTTCTAGACAATCATACAGGAAGTAATTATAAATTTCAAAAAGGGGAGCTGCATACTAACTGAGGACTCACTTCTCTAACCCCCTGGGGGAGGCACTATTGGCTGTTGAGGCAACATAGTATCATGATTAATTATTATTTCTCAGGACCCTGACCATTGAGATCCAAATCCTGCTTTTGCTAAGTAAATGCAATCTTGGGCTATTTACCGAACCTCTCACCGGTTTCCTTATGACTATATTAATAGCATCTATCTCTCAAGGTTTGGGGGAAGGATTAAATGAAAACACATGAAATGTGCCTGGCATATAGTAAATAATCAATAGAGGCTAACCGTAATTATTAATTATGCAAGACTATCTTTGAAGCACAACATAACGAACCCAAGTGGGATCCACATGTCTTCCTTGGGGCTATTAGACCTGCCATGGTAAAGCCTAGAAATACTGGGACTTAATCTGAGGTAGAAATGGATTAATAGTGAAAGGATATCAGCTTTTACTGAGTGTTAAGCACTTTCACAAATGTAATTTCATTATTTTTTGGTCACAATCCCAGTTGTTTTACTACTCCTTTTACAGATGGGGAAACTGAGACCCAAACAAAGTAACTGGGCAAGGCAAAGCCGGCATTCAAATACTGACGTGCATAGGCCTACAGCCAAGGCAGGCTGTCCATACTACTTGGGCCTCGGAA